AGTCTATAGTCTAGTCTATAGTGTAGTCTATAGTCTAGTCTATAGTGTAGTCTATAGTCTAGTCTATAGTCTAGTCTATAGTCTAGTCTATAGTCTAGTCTATAGTCTAGTCTATAGTCTAGTCATAGTCTAGTCTATAGTCTATCTATAGTCTAGTCTATAGTCTAGTCTATAGTCTAGTCTATAGTCTAGTCTATAGTCTAGTCTATAGTCTAGTCTATAGTCTAGTCTATAGTCTAGTCTATAGTTTAGTCTATAGTCTTGTCTATAGTCTAGTCTATAGTTTAGTCTATAGTCTAGTCTATAGTCTAGTCCATAGTCTAGTCTATAGTCTAGTCTATAATCTAGTCTATAGTCTAGTCCATAGTCTAGTCTATAATCTAGTCTATAATCTAGTCTATAGTCTAGTCTACAGTCTAGTCTATAGTCTAGTCTATAGTCTAGTCTATAGTCTAGTCTACAGTCTAGTCTATAGTCTAGTCTATAGTCTAGTCTATAGTCTAGTCCTATAGTCTAGTCTATAGTCTAGTCTATAGTCTAGTCTATAGTCTAGTCTATAGTCTAGTCTATAGTCTAGTCTATAGTCTAGTCTATAGTCCTAGTCTAGTCATAGTCTAGTCTATAGTCTAGTCTATAGTCTAGTCTATAGTCTAGTCTATAGTCTAGTCTATAGTCTAGTCTATAGTCTAGTCTATAGTCTAGTCTATAGTCTAGTCTAGTCTAGTCTAGTCTAGTCTAGTCTAGTCTAGTCTATAGTCTAGTCTATAGTCTAGTCTATAGTCTAGTCTATAAACAATTCCCAAAGAATCAACAAATTTATTTTAAAACTTTCCCTCAGTTTTGCTCCTTTATTTCTCTCACTGTAACAAACAAAACCACACGCACAACAAACCAAAACAGGAAAAAACAACAACAATAATAGTGGTTTGTTTATTGCGCACTTACAGTAAGAGTAATATATAATTAAACGTTGGCAGGATTAAATTATTATAACTGACCATAATCCCAGCATTATCATTATGAAAGTACGTACGTGTGTTTGTTTTTTTAAAGAGTGAGTGAGTAGTGATGATGAGTGTCTGTTAAATTCATTTTAATAACGTCATTCATGGTTTCAATGTTTAACATTAGCATTAACATAGACGTCATCATCATTATTATTGACGCGCCAGTCGCGTGTCTTCTTGTCTTACGGTTTTTTTTCGTTTACCGGGAGTCTGTCTGTCAGTTGTGTGTGTTGCAGTTTTTGTTAATATTTGTTTACCTGTCTGTGTGTCTATGATTTTCCACGGTTTGTGGGATTTAAATAATCGAAATAATGTCTTTCTTTATTTTTATCCTTTGTTTTTGGACAAATAATAATGATTTGTTTTCATTGGTGAGTGGGCCTAGTTTTATGATGTGTACTCACTCATTTTAGCTTTAGTTTGTCAATTATTTTTGGTTTTAGGGATTTATTTGTGTGGCTTATGGTAATTATTATTTTGTTGATTATTTCTAGAATTCTCAGCAGGTAGTCGTCGCGCTAGGGTTAGTGTGGGAATATGTATGAGAAAATTTACTATTTGGGGGACTTTTTTTAACACGGATTTTATAGAGTTGTTAACTTTATTATTAAATTATTCATGTATGTATGTATATCATTTAACCAAAGAGTATCTTAGTAGAATGGACTTATTGTTGGCAGTCAAAGGGTGTTATAGCTGGAACTACATATCAATGTTATTCATGGAAGAAATGGATTTAATTTCTTGTAATTGCAATAAAAGTGTTACCATAACTTCATCCATGTCAAGACTTGACTCTAGTCTATAATCTATAATCTGAACTCTTGCAACAATTTAGTCTGGAACATAGTTTAGTCTATAGTCTCGACTATAGTTTTATTAATAGTCTAGACTCTAGTCTTGATTGCATTCTGGACTCTTGACTAAAGCTTAGTCTATTGACATGATTATAGTTTATTCTATCTTGACTATATTTCAGTGAATGAGCAGGACTATAGTTCATTCTATTCTCTGGACTATAGTCTGGACTCTTGACTAGTTTAGTCTATAGTGTAGAGTTGGTTTAGTCTAAACTCTTGTTTTTCTATAGTTTAGTCTTGACTCTTGGCTATACTTTAGCCCATGTCATTGATTATTGTTCAGTTTCTAGTCTAGACCATAGTCTGAATTCTTGTCTTGACTATAGTTTAGTCTATAATCTAGACCATAGATCTTGACTCGTTTAATCTATAGTCTAGACTATGGTTTAGTCAATAGTATAGACTATTGTTTTGACTATAGTTTAGTCAATATGGTTACTAGACTAGTCCATAGTCTAGTCAATAGACTAGTCCATAATCTAGTCAATAGACTAGTCCATAGACTAGTCCATAGTTTAGTCAATAGACTAGTCCATAGTCTAATAAATTGGCTAGTCCACAGACTCTTCCATAGTTTAGTCTATAGACTAGTCAATAGACAATTCCATAGTGTAGTCTATAAACTAGTCAATAGACTTTTCCATACTCCAGTCTATAGACTAGTCCACAGATTAGCCAATAGACTAATTCATATACTAACCTAAGTATAGTCCACACACTTGACAATAGAATAGTCCATAGTCTAGTTTATAGACTAGTCAATATATTAGTCCCTAATCTAATCTGTTGACTAGTCCATAGAATAGTCCATAGTCTAGTCTATAGACTAGTCAATAGACTAGTCCATTGTCTAATCTATATACTAGTCAATTGTCTAGTCTATAGATTAGTCCATAATCTACTCTATAGACTAGTCTATACATTTGTCATTAGAATACTGTATAGTCATTAGACTAGTTCATAGTCGTCTATAGACTATATTATTATATTCTTGACTACATTTTATTCTCTAGTCTAGACCATTATTTAGACTTTAGATTGGTCTGTAGTCTTGACTATAGTCTGGACTCTTAACTAGTTTAGTCTATAGTCTAGACTTGATTTAGTCAATAGTGTATACTCTTGTTTTGAATACATTTTAGTATCTTATCTAGACCATAGTTTAGTCTATAGTATGGACTCAAGTCTTGATTATAGTTTAGTCAATCTTATTGACTATAGTCTGGACTCTTGACTGTAGTTAAGCCTATGTTAATGATTACAGTTTAGTCTCTAGTCTAGGCCATAGTTTAGTCTATAGCCTGAACTTTTGACTAGTCAATAATCTAGATCATAGTTTAATCTTTCGTCTGGACTCTTGACTATAGTTTAGTTTATAGTCTAGACTATAGAGTAACCAATAGCCTGGACTCTAGACCCAACTATAGTTTTGCTTGTAGTCTGGACTCTGAACTACAGTTTAGTGTATGGTTTAGACTACAGTTTAGTTTATAGCCTGCTCCATACTTTAGTCAATAGTTTATACCTCAGTCTTGACTAAAGTCTTGTCTATTGTCTTGAACTATAGTTTAATTAAAATCAATTGCTTATGGTAAGCAATACCAAATAGCAAATTTTATGGGTTAAACAACAATTTCACACATACAAATTCACTTATAATTCTAGAATTCCAAAAATTTTACTGTTAACACCTATTGCTTCCTATAAACGGATGTGGGATTGGAATCCAATGTAAAAGAATTGTATTCAAAAACAATAGAAATTCAACAATTTGAAAATGTCTTTGGACAGAAGGACCAATAAGTGAAAATGTTGATCCTTTCCTTTACATTCAGACATTATAATCCCCCTATTAAGTACTAATAGTTTTAAAAAAGAAAATAGGATTAAAAAAATTTCTTTTTGTGACATAAGAATAAGTGCTGCTTGGGCTCTTTTCTTGACAAGACAATTTAAACGGCTTAAAATTTTGGTTAAAAAGAAATTTCTAATAATATTTTATATTGTTTTCTTCAATAATGACATTTAACGAGAAGTTAATTGTCAGTTTATGGTGAATGACTATTATGAGTGAAAGGTGTCTGTCAATTATTGTTTCAATAAATCATACAACTTCTTTTTTTTTTGTTTGTAATTTATTTACACTAAAAATTTATTTCTTTTTAATTCATTTTGATTTCGATTTTTGTTTTTTGTAATTCTTTAAAAATTTATTTATTATTTTTTTTTTAATATTTTCTTTTTTTAAATAATTTAAACATTTGTTTAGATAGTAATTTAACAAAATAAGAAAATAATAATTATAAAAGAAAATTTAAAAACTTCTATAAACTACTTAAAGAATAATAATAATTTTTTGCACATTTTTTTTTAATTAATTAATTTAAATTTAATATTTTAATATATATTTACATTGTGGCTTAGAATTATTAAAACTAACCTAAAATTTTATTTATATTTTTTAAAGATTTTTGTTTAGATTTAACGGCAATTTTTGTATATTTTTATTATTTATTTGAAATTTAGGAGTTTTCTTATAGAGTTTTGAAGAGAGAAGGAGAGAATGATCCTCTTAGTTTTAACGATTATAACTGGAAGTTTTTATAATCGCCTTTAAAGACCTAAGATCCAAATAAGACAACTTGTATAGAACTGGAACTGTAGATAAGACTATAGTCTAGATATAAACTAGACTATAGTAAAGATAATAGATTAGACTATAGACTAGCCAATAGTTTAGCGTCCGGACCATAGTTTAGACTATAGTCCAGACCATTGATAATACTATAGTCAAGACTATTGATTAGACTATAGTTTAGACTATAGTTTGGACCATAGTCTAGTCCATAGTCTGGACTATAGTCTAATCTATTGTCTAGTCTATATTCTTGACTATAGTCTGGACTATAGTCTAGTCTATTGTCTAGTATATAGTCTAATCTATTGTCTAGTCTATAGTCTCGACTATAGTCTGGACTATAGACTAATCTTTAGTCTTGGCTATAGTATAATCTATAGTCTGGACTATAGTTTAGACTATAGTCCAGACCATAGTTCAGACTATAGTCCAGATTATAGTTTAGACTATAGTCCAGACCATAGTTTAGACTATAGTCCAGATTATAGATTATACTTTAACTAAGACTATAGATTACACTATAGTCCTGACTATAGTCGGTCCAAACTATAGATTAGACTTTAGTCCAAACTGTAAACTAGACTATAGTCCAGACTATAGAATAGTCTATACTCCAGTATTTAGACTGTAGTCCATACTCTAGACTCGTCTGCTGCTGATTGCTACCCTTCTCATCTCTAGAGTCGAAAGTCCCCAAGTTCCAAAACCAGACTTAACTCAAATCATCCTTCTTAAACCAAAACTTTTGTCTCTCTAAACTCCATCTCGTTAAAAAATCCCTTCAATTCCTAAAATGTTTCCATAATTCTCAACTAAATTGTATCTTATTAAAAATAATAATGATGCTGTTGTTGCTGTCTCGTTAATTGACCAGCTGCTGCAGCTGACAGGGAAGAAGCTGTTGCTGTAGTTGTTGCTGCTGCTGCTGCAGTTGTGCCACTAACAGCCGATGTTGCCAACCATTCACTACTAGTACTACTGCCCGTACAAATGGCATCTAACTAAAATCATAAATGTTGATATTCACTCATATCATAAATGGGCATAGAACTCATTACATTATGTAAATGTGAATAGGCTACGGCAGCGGGTAAAGGTGCCATTTGTGCGCCGGATGCATTACCGGCACCCTTAGCAGAACCTATGGCAGCGGCGGCTGCAGCAGCAGCTGATAAAGCTGGTCCACCCACCAGTTGAGCACTTAAAGTATGATCGACAGTGGTGTGTGAGGATATATTATGACTTTGTTGTTGCTGCTGCTGCTGGTGATGATGTGTATGATGATTGCTGAGCGTTTGATTGGGTGATTGTTGTGCTGCATGTTGTTGTTGCGAGAGCGTCTGTTGTTGCTGCTGCTGATGATGGTGATGATGTGACGTTGTATGATGATGATTATTGCTATTCGTTGTATTGTTATTATTGGCGGATGTTGTGCTACTGTGATGTTGCATGAGAGCACCTTCCATTTCGGAATCACTCGATGAGTCTAGATGTTGTTTATCCGAGTTGCCACTGTAAAGAGAGTAAATAAGGAGGAAATTGTTAGATATTTGTTGTTGTGCAAGGTCCAAAATAACATTTGTTTTTAAACTTTTTTTTATAAAGAATAGTTATAAATAAGAGTCTTGGATGTAGTTAGGACTGACCATAGACTAGACTTGAGACTAGAACTAGACTAGAATATAGATCAGAATAAAAACCAGAGTTAATACTAGATTATAGACCAGACTATAGATTAGACTATAGACTAGACTATATACTAGACTATAGACTAGACTAGACTATAGACTAGACTATAGACTAGACTACAGACTAGACTATAGACTAGACTATAGACTAGACTATAGACTAGACTATAGACTAGACTATAGACTAGACTATAGACTAGACTATAGACTAGACTATAGACAGACTATAAACTAGACTATAGACTAGACTATAGACTAGACTATAGACTAGACTATAGACTAGACTATAGACTAGACTATAGACTAGACTATAGACTAGACTATAGACTAGACTATAGACTAGACTATAGACTAGACTATAGACTAGACTATAGACTAGACTATAGACTAGACTATAGACTAGACTATAGACTAGACTATAGACTAGACTATAGACTAGACTATAGACTAGTACTATAGACTAGACTAGACTAGACTATAGACTAGACTATAGACTAGACTATAGACTAGACTATAGACTAGACTATAGACTAGACTATAGACTAGACTAGAACTAGACTAGACTATAGACTAGACTATAGACTAGACTATAGACTAGACTAGACTAGACTATAGACTAGACTATAGACTAGACTATAGACTAGACTATAGACTAGACTATAGACTAGACTATAGACTAGACTAGACTAGACTGTAGACTAGACTATAGACTAGACTATAGACTAGACTATAGACTAGACTATAGACTAGACTATAGACTAGACTATAGACTAGACTATAGACTAGACTATAGACTAGACTATAGACTAGACTATAGACTAGACTATAGACTAGACTATAGACTAGACTATAGACTAGACTATAGACTAGACTATAGACTAGACTATAGACTAGACTATAGACTAGACTATAGACTAGACTATAGACTAGACTATAGACTAGACTATAGACTAGACTATAGACTAGACTATAGACTAGACTATAGACTAGACTATAGACTAGACTATAGACTAGACTATAGACTAGACTATAGACTAGACTATAGACTAGACTATAGACTAGACTATAGACTAGACTATAGACTAGACTATAGACTAGACTATAGACTAGACTATAGACTAGACTATAGACTAGACTATAGACTAGACTATAGACTAGACTATAGACTAGACTATAGACTAGACTATAGACTAGACTATAGACTATACTATAGACTAGACTATAGACTAGACTATAGACTAGACTATAGACTAGACTATAGACTAGACTATAGACTAGACTATAGACTAGACTATAGACTAGACTATAGACTAGACTATAGACTAGACTATAGACTAGACTATAGACTAGACTAGACTAGACTATAGACTAGACTATAGACTTGACTATAGACTAGACTATAGACTAGACTATAGACTATAGACTAGACTAGACTAGACTATAGACTAGACTAGACTAGACTAGACTAGACTAGACTAGACTAGACTATAGACTATAGAAGACTAGACTAGACTATAGACTAGACTAGACTAGACTATAGACTAGACTAGACTATAGACTAGACTAGACTATAGACTAGACTATAGACTAGACTATAGACTAGACTATAGACTAGACTATAGACTAGACTATAGACTAGACTATAGACTAGACTATAGACTAGACTATAGACTAGACTATAGACTAGACTATAGACTAGACTATAGACTAGACTATAGACTAGACTATAGACTAGACTATAGACTAGACTATAGACTAGACTATAGACTAGACTAGACTATAGACTAGACTAGACTAGACTATAGACTAGACTATAGACTAGACTATAGACTAGACTATAGACTAAACTATAGACTAGACTATAGACTAGACTATAGACTAGACTATAGACTAGACTATAGACTAGACTATAGACTAGACTACAGACTAGACTATAGACTAGACTATAGACTAGACTATAGACTCTATAGACTAGACTATAGACTAGACTATAGACTAGACTATAGACTAGACTATAGACTAGACTATAGACTAGACTATAGACTAGACTATAGTTATACTAGACTATAGACTAGACTATAGACTAGACTATAGACTAGACTATAGACTAGACTATAGACTAGACTATAGACTAGACTATAGACTAGACTATAGACTAGACTATAGACTAGACTATAGACTAGACTATAGACTAGACTATAGACTAGACTATAGACTAGACTATAGACTAGACTATAGACTAGACTATAGACTAGACTATAGACTAGACTATAGACAAGACTATAGACTAGACTATAGACTAGACTATAGACTAGACTATAGACTAGACTATGGACTAGACTATAGACTAGACTATAGACTGGATTGTAGTTTAGTTTAAAGTCTAGTGCATAGTCTGGCCAATAATTTACTATATTAAATGGTTTATATCAGACGTCGGCGCTAGTATTGTTCTGACAACGAAGATTTTCGGCAAATTACATGTACACAACACGATCGCATACGAACCTCTAAACAAGAGCATCAAAAATACAAATATTTTATTTAGTTGCTTGACAGCATTCAACAAAGCAGGTTGATGTCGCTTTGTTAAAGAAATTGCAAACACAACTTGAAAAAACAAAAACAACTTGCAAAAGCAAGAGCATAATTTACAAAAACAACGTACACTCTAAATAATTTTCTAGAATGCATAACAATGAAAGTAAATAAGTTAATCTTGTTTCATACTTTTTTTGTACATTTTAATTAGAAATGTTGTTTTTATGTGAAGAAATTATCATTCTTCAGTACATTGATTACACTTTGTTTATAAATATTCGCATTTTACAGTAATGCAATTTAATCTTCAAAATTAAAAACAACCAAATATTTTTTTCAGTGCAATTTTAATGAAAAAATGCCAATAGTGTGTGTGTAGTGGTGATTTTTTTATCTGCCTCTCTATCCGCCGGTATATGGTTTATATCCTAGTCAATTATAAATTACTTTAAATAATAACTAATAAATTAAATGTTTATGCCCCCTGAGCTGCAGCACTAAAATTTTAAACATTTTCTTTTCTTCATCACAACTAAATTACCATTGACACTTAACAATTAGTTTAACAGCAATTGTTTTCAATTCAAATTACAAATTACCGGTACTTTATGTAGAAAAAACAACTAAAACCGGAAGGAAATAATGCAATTTATGGCTAAAAATACACACTGAAACAAACAGTAACATGTTAAGGTTTCAAATTCATCAGAAATAATATGATCTCTTGATAAAATGACTTTCGCTCTTTTGACGCTATGCGCCTCTAACTCTCTGGGGAGTTTTTAATACTTAGAAACATAAAGGCTCTTGACTTTCAACACCAAAAAAAAAAATAGAAAACAGACTCTTGAGAGTCTTTTAAACAAAAGCACTTTAGGTGTTTGATTTCATTTTGACAACACAAACTGCAGTAAAAATACAATATTTAAATACCATAAAGTATAATAAATAAGTATAAAATTCAAGTGGCAATATGTTTATGTGATGATACTTGAGTTAAAATGTCTGTATTTATTTAGATCAATGTTGATACAAAAACCACCAACCCCCCTTAGTCTTATGGCTATTACATGGTAATTGTTTTGGTGAGGGTGTGTTTTTGTATTCAAAAAGTCATTTGTAAATTGAGTCGTTAGAAATGAGTTGACAGTTAACAGCTGATAATCAAAATTGTAAGGGAAAATCATCTTATTAACCTAGAAATGAGGAGAGGTTTAGACTTGTGGGATTTTATATGATTTAGTGTTAACAACTGCTGTAATTTTTAATAATTTTAAAAATTTTCTAGTTTATAGTTTCGACTATAGTCTAGTCTAGTATATTGTCTAGTCTATAGTCTAGTCTGTAGTCTAGTATATAGTTTAGACTATAGTCTAGTCTGCAGTCTAGTCTGCAGTCTAGTATATAGTCTAGTCTATAGTCTAGTCTATAGTCTAGTCTATAGTCTAGTCTATAGTCTAGTCTATAGTCTAGTCTAGTCTAGTCTATAGTCTAGTCTATAGTCTAGTCTATAGTCTAGTCTATAGTCTAGTCTATAGTCTAGTCTATAGTCTAGTCTATAGTCTAGTCTATAGTCTAGTCTATAGTCTAGTCTATAGTCTAGTCTATAGTCTAGTCTATAGTCTAGTCTATAGTCTAGTCTATAGTCTAGTCTATAGTCTAGTCTATAGTCTAGTCTATAGTCTAGTCTATAGTCTAGTCTATAGTCTAGTCTATAGTCTAGTCTATAGTCTAGTCTATAGTCTAGTCTATAGTCTAGTCTATAGTCTAGTCTATAGTCTAGTCTATAGTCTAGTCTATAGTCTAGTCTATAGTCTAGTCTATAGTCCTAGTCTATAGTCTAGTCTATAGTCTAGTCTATAGTCTAGTCTATAGTATAGTCTATAGTCTAGTCTATAGTCTAGTCTATAGTCTAGTCTATAGTCTAGTCTACAGTCTAGTCTATAGTCTAGTCTATAGTCTAGTCTATAGTCTAGTCTATAGTCTAGTCTATAGTCTAGTCTATAGTCTAGTCTATAGTCTAGTCTATAGTCTAGTCTATAGTCTAGTCTATAGTCTAGTCTATAGTCTAGTCTATAGTCTAGTCTATAGTCTAGTCTATAGTCTAGTCTATAGTCTAGTCTATAGTCTAGTCTATAGTCTAGTCTATAGTCTAGTCTATAGTCTAGTCTATAGTCTAGTCTATAGTCTAGTCTATAGTCTAGTCTATAGTCTAGTCTATAGTCTAGTCTATAGTCTAGTCTATAGTCTAGTCTATAGTCTAGTCTATAGTCTAGTCTATAG